GCCATAGAAAGAATAGCAAGGCTAAAACAGAGTTCCTCAAAAAAATATTCGACTCATTGTCAAAATAAAATGGAAGCCATATGTATTTAGCCCTCTTCTCTAGTGTTTTTTTTACAAGAAATGAAACTTATAATCAAAATAATGAAAATTCAGCAAGACTTGAAGAGAATCACCATCAAGAAGCCTTTATTCTTGTGGATTGAAACCGTTCAAACAAAGGAAGGTACTTTTCTTTGAAAAATTCTCCAATTCCTTTCAATTGTAAAAGAATTTTAACCCCAATAACAATTAATCCATATTCAATTGTAAAAGAATCCAAGTTCAGTACACTTAACTGACTAAAACTATCTAGTTAAACCACTACTACATAACTAAACTAGCTAAAAGCTAACTTAAGGTCAACAAGCTTGATCAACATCCAAATATCAATAATCTGGCCCTACCATTTCTAATCACTCGCTAAATCAAATGTATTCACAATATTTCGTTTCTTGAACACAAAGAAAACTGGAGAAATATATCAGGATTCACCTATACAAGATAATCGGAGTAATCCTCATCAAATTATTAAAAAGAAAAAAGAAAACCAGCATTTTCACAAATTATACTACTCCAAAACGACGATCAGACCTCAAAAGCATTCAACAAAACCCATTTCCAAAGCATCCAAATATGTTTACACACTGATTAATCGCCATTTCTTTCATCATATCGTTTATTTCATTTCCGTGTGTAGCAAAGTTAAGAGCCACGAAAGAAATTTACTATTCCCAGAAAGAAACGAATGGCAATGAGCGGGAAAAGAAATTGGAATCATCAAACTCACCCAACGCTTGCAGTTTCGTGGGTGTACGGCCGGAATTGAATCCTAATTGAAGCTTTTGATGATCCAGTGGCTATGGCTTCCAAGAAGCTCTTGTAATCTTTCGGAAACGAAACTCTACACCGTGTCTAAAATGAATTGTATCGCCAAGAGTTTCGGATGACCTTAAAAAATAAAGGTTTAATTAATAAAAATTGTATAAAAAACTTTTTCAACTTAAAAAAAAACATTAAAAAAATATATATGTTATTTTACTTTTAAAAAATTCATTAATATTCTTAAACACTTTAATTGTGAACGCAAACAATCGGAGAGTGAAACTAAGATGTAACCATAGCAATACAACATAATCCCAAGAACATTTTTTTTTTTTTTTGTAATTTTGCAGCCTTAGGTTTCATTTAGGCTCAATGTATTTAGCCAAATTATGTCTTTGTTCGTTAAAACTCGATCGCGTTCTAAGTGCGACACTGTCTAAAACATCACCCTCTGACCATTGAGCTGGGTTTTTAGGGCTAACGAATGTAAGAGCGATCGTTATCACTCATTTGTATCAACAACCATAAAACAATTAATTTTATGCAACGAGAATTTCTTAAAAAATAGATTTTTTTTTTTTTTTTTACACGTTTTTGCTCACTCTCAAATCATGATATCTAAGTTTGATTTTTAGGCCTAAATGGTCAATATCACTCATTTATATCAATCAGAACTCCAAAACGATCATTTTTTACTATGAAAATGGTAAAAAAAAAAAAAAAAAATTCAAAATAAATTATACCTGAGTTTCTGGCAGAAGTGTCTCCATTAAAAGAGAAACTTTTGAGACTTATAGATAATTTTTACTCGTGGAAGAACATTGAACCCGACTTCAATTAGGTTTACAATTATTTTTATTTAAAAGTTTGATTAATTTTTTTGAATCTTCAACCCATCATAGTTTTTTTTTGTTTTTTTTTTTTTTTAATTTATTAGCACACAACCGAAAGTTTGATGGTGATCGTGCTCAAATTAGGCCTATTTAAGATATCCAGGTGCACCTACTGATTCGATACTATTAACGACTTAATTTGAGGCTGGACCGATATTGAAAGTCAAAATAACCACAAAACAACCATACAACAAAAATAATTACATAATTTGTAGAAGCCAAACCATAAACAAAGTAAAATGATCATATACATTCAAACGACATAAGTGTTAAACGAATACGACTCTTCACAATAGTATGACATTATCCACTTTGAGCATAAGCTCTCATGACTTCGCTTTAGGGTTCCAAAAGAGTCTAGTACCAATCGATATAGTATTTTTCAGGATCTTCTACGAAATTAACCAAAGACTCACTCGCAATAATACTCAACCGTAGGTAGTAGATAACGAAATAGTCAGCTTCAAATTACTAGGGTCCGGTGGACTATGGGTTGTTGCGGTTGTATGTGCCAGGATGTTCTCTCGGAGAGGTACTAGGGTTCGGGTAAAGACAGCTATATCTACCCGGCCGACTGCATACTTGTATGTTCTTATTTCCAGTCACAGCAAGGCTTAGAAAATCTGAGCCGTCAACCTCGTCAGCTCCGACAAGGCACTCCTCGGTGCGACGGTCGCACCACGTCGATGATGCACCGGCGTCGGTTTTGTTGCCGAAGTTCGAACGACTTGGAGAAGCAGCATTGCCGTTGCTTGCAGCCAGTGTAAAGACTAGGATCGCCGCCACCACCGCCATCATCGCCGCCGCCGCCATTGAAAGAAGATTGGGAGGAAGAGGAGGAGAAGAAAGCTGGGATAAAAATTCTGTGGCTAAGTCTCCATTTATTTGAAATGAGGTGTTTGTTTATTTATTTATTATTTTAAATATTTTATAAATATAAATTATTAATTGATATTTTATCGATATTTTCATAAATAAATATTAATTTTAATCACATTAGTGATCGTAGCATTTGATAACTATTTAATCTTTTATTTTTAAAATAATTTCATTTTAAAAAAAACATTCCAATTTTGAAAAGTAAATTTTTTAATTTTTAAAACTTGACATGATTTTTGAAAAATATACAAAAAGTACATAAAAATGCATATTTACAATTAATTTTTTTAAAAAAACAAAACAATAATAATCATACTAAATCAGATATTATGGAATAAGGTTTAAAATATAATAAATTTTAAAATTGTGATATTTTAATAAAATAATAATAATAATAATAAAAGGACGGCCGTCGCTACCCTGCCGACACTTTATTAACTTTATTTACATTATTCTACCCGTGAGGCCTATCTCAATCAATTAGATGGCCCGAGCATGGGACCACGAACAATTTTATTTTGAAATAATATTTGGATTTGGATGATCTCAAATATTAAATAAAATCTCGTGATCGTTCTTGGTATAATTTACCACGAGTTTTTTGTCTCGTGGGTTAAACTTTGATAAAGCTTTAGTAATCGTCTTGTTAGGAGTTTGAAGAGTTTCTTGTAGATTAATGTCATCTTATACTTTTAAGTGAAATGATCAAGAAATAGTATAGATGAAGTGACTTTGACACTATAGGAGTGATCATCAGTTGGTCGGGATTGGTTTTAGACAAAGCACGACACTTTTGAACGATCGACTTCGATTTGGTTAGTTAATTCATTGGTTTAAGAAGAAGGGGAGAAAGGTGATTGCAACAAGAAAGAGATAAAGAAAATTTTAATGTCGAGCATGGAATGTCAAGGAAAAGAGGGGATGACGGGAGGAAGGGACAAGGCGAGAAGTAAAAAAGAGGGAAGAGAAAGAGACACAAAAATAGATCGAATTATTTACGATCGAGAGGTAATTAGTGAATTTTCAATTGGGTTAAAAATATTTTAGCTACCGATTGAGAGGTAATTTTATGAAATTATAAATTTTAAAATAAGTAATTTTATTATTCGTCTTTAGAATTAAAATTTATAATACAATCTCTTATTATATTAACGACCACGTTAATTTACATTCCATTTTATTTTGTCTAACTTTCAAAATTACCATTTTAGTTCTTAAATTTTTAAATATCAAATCGAACTATTTTCAAAACATTTAAAATCATAAATGAACAGATATATATATATAGCCATTTTCTTTATTTTAGTTTAAATAAAATATAACGCAACATAGGCTAAAGTCATCCCATATATACTTTTTAATATGAATATTAGATAACAAAATAAAAGAAAAAAATGCTAATAAAAGAACATGATTAATAAACTTAGGTTAGCGCCATAATTATTTAATTTTTAATTTTTGAAATTCTATAAATATATGTTTCTTCGTTTCATCCTACATTTAAAAAAAAAAATTAAGTAGTTTTGAAGTCTAAAATAAAATTTTTCTATATTTTTTATTTAGCAAAAAAATTCAAATACTTTTATAAAAAATGAAAATGATAAGAATATTTTAAAAAGTAAAAAATAATAATTTAAATGATTATTAGCCTAAATAATTAATATTTATTAAACAAACTCAATAAAAAAAATTATTCTTTTTATGAAAAAATATCAAATTATTTTAGTGATAATTTTCCTTTTTGACCACAAAAGAAATTCCTACTCCAACCTTTAAAATATATATATATATAACCGCCCAAATTGATATGGTAAAATAAGACTTTTTTTTTTTTTTAATATATATGTATATATATATAGTAAGTTATTGCGTACCATAATAAGCCTCTAGATCTTATAATATTTTATATTCATTACGACATGTTTTATCAAAATGAGAGATTAACGACAAGTCAATATTTCAAGTTGATTGTATGAGGCTATGAAATATTAACACGAATATAACTTAAGAGTTAAGGAAATTAACACAAAACCTAACAAATAAGAAAATTACTCGATAAAAATTCGATCTTGAAACTTACCATGTTCCAATAATACTATGGTAACTCTCGCTACTAAACCCAAAAATTTTATATATATTGTTTTTTTTAATACCCGAGAAACATGAAATCTAACCCTAACTTAATTCATAAAAATATTAGACGGTCGTTATAAAAGTCAAATGTTTAAATCTTTATTTGACGGTCCAAAAAAATATAAAATACAAATTTAAATGAGCCAAATTAAGAAGTTTGGTAGCCCACAGAAAAATAGGCTCACAAATCTCTATATTATTTATTCTTAGACGTTCAGAACCATTGATGTTTGAAAGATGGAGAATTGGATGGGTCTACTTAGAATTCATGTGTGTAGAGGAATCAATCTTGCTATAAGAGATGTTCGTGGGAGTGATCCTTATGTTATTTTGAAGATGGGTAAAAAGGTCTTTTCTCCTTTCTTGATCGGTCTATTTGTTCGATTTTGTATTCATTTTTAAAATCTACAAGCGACGAACATTTTAGATTGCATTTACAGCTTTGAGTATTTTTTGTAAATTTGAACTTACGTGCATACTTTTTTTCGTGATACAGACGTTGAAGACTCGAGTTGTGAAACAAAATACTAACCCGCAGTGGAACGAAGATCTAACTCTATCAATCGAAGATCCAAATCTCCCAATCACCATGGCAAGAAATACATTACCCAATTTTTTTTTTCACACGTACTCTATGAAATGATGGTTTGATAACGTCGTTGTTTTGATTCATTTGTACAGTTTGTATATGATAAGGACTGGTTTTCACTAGATGACAAGATGGGTGATGTGGAGATCGACGCTCGTCCGTTCATGGAAGTTGCTAAGATGAAACTAAACAACCTTTCGAATGGAACCATCATAAGAACGATTGAACCAAGTAAGAGCAATTGTTTGTCGGAAGAAAGTTACATCGTTTGGGAAAATGGAGAAGTTACTCAAAAAATGTTTGTAAGGCTAAGAAATGTGGAGTGTGGGGAAGTTGAGTTGCAATTGAAATGGATTGATATTCCTCGTTCTACACAATTATAGACATAAAATAAATAATAATAATATTAAGTTCTTTTCAATGAGAGTTTGAAAGGCTGAAGTTACACAGTTTAATCTTTGTTTGATCGAGTGAGTTCTTTAAATATTTGTAAGAATCCCATATTGTTTTGGGATGAGAATGAAACACTTTTTTATAATGGTATGAAAACCTTCTCCTAGTAGACTTGTTTTAAAGCCTTAGGGAAAATCCGAAAGGAAAAGCTTAAAACGACAATATTTTTTCTTCATCATCTTTCTATACTAAACATGAAATAGGAGTATGTAACCTCAACCCCAATTTCTAAAATGGGGAAGAATGGGAACACGAGTATCATCTTTCTATTCTAAACATGATATAGGAGTCTGCAACCTCAACCCCAATTTCTAAAATGGGGAAGAATGGGAACACGAGTCCGCAACCTTCGCACAAAGAGTTTGCCACCCCCCCCCCCCCCCCCCCCCCCCCCCCCCCCCCCCCCCCCCCCCCCCCCCCCCCCCCCCCCCCCCCCCCCCCCCCCCCCCCCCCCCCCCCCCC